TTCCGACGAGCATAGCAAAATTCAGTAATAAATATTATTAAAGGGATATAGTTCAAAAACTATAAATAAAGCTTCAAAAAATTAGAATAATAGACCTAATATATTTAATGATATTATATATCATTGTATAATACATATGCTTTCAATTTCAACCCTTATAGGCATAGAAGTTTTATCTGTAATCTGATCCCATTTCAAATAAGGGTGATTGCAAGGGGGAAGCTAGAGTTGCAGAGCGTCTCTATGAGCTGGGAAGTCATTTAGGGTTTGCATCCAAATATTTAAGGGGGTTATACATTTAAAGATGGTAGTCTAGGGGTAAACCAGATATTGTTTAAATTTATTGGGGAGTTATCTTTTCAATTTTTAGATAAAAAGGCATAGCATATACCTGTAAAATCTTAATAATAATTTTATTATAGACCAATTATAACATACAATGATAATTGCTAAATATAAATTTATGTATTGCTTACAAAAATAAACATTATTTTTCAGATAAAACTTATTACTGGATAATTTCCAGCTACCTTTTTAAATATACCGCATCCGTTTAATATTTTTAATTCACATTTATTTTATAGTTTTATATATGCCAATTTATATATTTAATTTTTTATAATTCACATTAATTTTAATTTATATATTAGAATATTAGTCCTAATAAATTTATGCTTGATTTATTTAAATAACAAAAATTTTATATTATAAAAATTTAATAATACCTCCCCCTCTCCTCCCCAACAACAAAATGCTGCGTACGCGCCTGAATTCCCGTAATTTAACAACAATTTTTGAGGTATAACCATGTATCTCTGCATATTCTATCCACTTTGAATAAGATTCCATCACCAAATGTATGATTTTTTTTCTAGATCAAAGAAATCGATATGGAGACGTTCCCATGGTTTCTTTGATTTGGGCCACATTTGACCTACTTCTTTACAGAACATAGATTCACAGATATTATAGGGAATACATTTCCTTATAATTTTTTCAATATCATTACCTATACATACCAGGCCACCATACATATTTGCCAAGATTTCATTATATCCCGACCCTAATAGTAATAAATCAACAATTTTACTACGTAATTTAAAAGGAATTAAGGCTTCTATTTCCCCTCACTAAACAAACACCCACCACGGACAATTCTTTTTATCCTTAAAGTATTTAACTCGATCCCAAAAGGATAAAATATCGAACGAACAATTTTCTTTGCTTTAACGATATATAATTTCTACATTGAAACTTCCCACTAATAACAATCAACGTTGTAATCGTGTAGATAACAATAATTATCAAATATCCTTTTTGAATAAATTAATTAATGGTTTATGATAGGCGTAAATTACAAATTTCGATTAAATATTCCCGACAGGTTAAACCAAAAATGACAGCTAGCGATTCCTGTACAATAACAGAATATCGCGTTTCCACTTCTCTGAAAACTCTTGAAAAAATTAATATTGGTCTTTCCAAACCATCAATTAAAAGATAATCGTGCTCCCCCCCCCCCTTGACACATTTGTTAGATGCATCAAATCAACACCTTACATCAAATTTATTTGTATTGATGCCTAATTTTTTCTCACATTGGAATTTTCTAATACGGATATTCTTAAGGGAAAACCCATTCGGAAATTCTGTTCCTTCGCCATACAAGTTTCAACCTTGTGTCCTTTATAACCACGACGGTTACATATAATATTATTCAAAATATTTTCTGCATCAATATTTTAACCAAATATTTTGTTTTTTGAAAAACCATTTTTTATTTATTTGCCACAAAATTATTATTCATATTAATCAAATTATATATATCACAATATATAATTTTGATTATATCTTTCACTTCTTTTACTTCTTGGAGGAATAACTACTGATTTCACCTCACATTCCGGAATATCGCACGGATTATCCTTTATATTATTCTGATTTATCCTTCTTGATTTCATTTAGAACTTCTTTTAAATTAAAATATTCTTTTTAAATAATTATCTGACACCACAGTGTCTTTCTTTAAATTATTATCTACCCTTATTACTATATCGGTTAGTGTAATAGAAACAATTAGCCTCAAAGGCAATTAAATATATGATGAATTTTAAATATATATATTATTAATTGTGTACGATGATTAATTGTTTGTTTTGTAAAATATATATATACTGCGATACAAAAGGTAAAAAGTTGTTAAATTTATAATAAAAATTGATTTCATCACAATGGCGCAGTCGTTTCAAATGGAGAAATATAATATAAAGTAGTGCAATATGGAAGTTTATTTATCAAAAATGGAATTCATATTTAAAATCGCAAAAATAGAAGATAAAAAATTATTTTTATCAGCGAATATTGGATTAGAGATTTATTCTAAATTATTTAATTTGTGTTTGCCAAAGACATTAGAGGAAATATCATATGATGACATAATTAAACTTTTAAAAAATTATTATATGAAGAAGACAAACTTCCTATTAGAAAGATATTATTTTTTTAAAATGGAACAAGAAAAAGATGAAACCATCGTAGAGTATATTAATAAATTAAAGATAAAGGCAAAGACGTGTGAATTTAAAGATGTGTATAATACAGTATTGCGGGACAAATTAGTGTCAGGAATTAATAATGGAAAAATATTAATGAAATTAATTAACACGCAGGACTTGACATGGGAAAGTGCAATACAATCGCGACCGCAATGGAGACTACAGAAATGATGTCGTATGAAAAATTATCTGCAGGGAAGGAGATAAATAAAATCTAAAAAACAGTAACAAGGGAGCAGTATGACAAGTACAAACCAGTACCAAAAATTATGTGCTATTGTTGCGGAGTAGGAGATCACATAAAACCTAAGTGCCCTAATTTGAATGCCATCTCATAATTGTGGGATAAAAGGACATTTACAAAAAGTATGCAGAAGGAATCGTGGAAAAAAAGAATATATTCGAACGATAGATGTTCCAGAAAATTAGCGAGAAAGTTTTGAGGATTGGGAATTTCCAGAGGAGTCTCGAGAAAAATTTGAGGTGAAATTATTGATAGATAAAATTTATATTAAATTTTTAATTGACACAGGATCGGCAGTCTCCATTTTGAATATAGAAGACGTTTACCGTTTAAAAATACCAGTAACAAAAACGGATATTATTTTAAAATCTTATAATAATGTAATGATCAATATTAAAGGTAAGTGTATATTACCCGTTAATTATATGAATAAAGTTATATATCATGAATTTATTATTGTAAACAATGGGATTAACTTGATAGGTAGAAACCTAATAAACAAATTAAAATTAATAAAAATAAATCAATGTAATATAGTTAATGAGGTTTGGGAGGATAATATTGTACATAAATTTTCCTTATTATTCACTAAAAAATTAGGTTTACTAAGAGGTTTTAAGGCCAGTTTAGCCGTAAAATCTAACCCACAGTTTCAATGTATGAAAAGTAGACCGATACCATTTGCGTGGAAGGCAAAACTCGAAACGGAATTACAACGACTGGAATCCATGGGAGTTTTAGAAAGACTAAAATACTCGAATTTCGCTTCTCCGATTGTACCCGTATTGAAGAAAGATGGATCTTTACGAATTTGCGGTGATTTCAGACAAACTGTTAATGCAAATATTTTGATAGATAAATATCCTTTACCCAGAATTAATGAATTATTAGCCACACTAGGTAATGGGTGTAAATATACAGTATTAGATTTATCCGAAGCGTATTTTCAAATAGAGCTAGATGAGGAGGCAAAAAAGCTGTTAGTAATCAACACGCCTAGTGGATTGTATCGTTTCACACGACTTCCGTTTGGGGTAGCCTCAGCGCCAGCGATTTTTCAACAAGCAATGGATTCATTATTAAAGGGATTACCTGGAGTAGCGGTATATTTGGACGATATAATAATTACGGGGGAATCAATTGAGAGTCATAAGAAAAATTTGATAAATGTATTACAGACTTTAGAAATAAACGATATGAAATTAAATCTAAAAAAATGTGATTTTTTTAAAGAAAAGATTGAATTCTTAGGTCATACCGTTAGCGAAGAGGGAATTACGACAACAAATAAGAATGTCAATGCAATTTTAGACGCACCATTACCAAAAAACGTCAAAGAATTACAAGCTATTATCGGTATAATAAATTATTATCAAAAATTTATAAACAATTTTTCGACTATTGCCGCTCCATTATATAGGCTTTTAAGGAAAGATGTGCCATGGAAATGTACAAATAATGAAACAATTGTGATTAATAAATTTAAAAAATTAATATCAGAAGCACCAATTTTAACACATAATAATCCGGAAAAACCGATAATTCTAGCTGCTGATGCGTCTCAACATGGAATAGGATCAGTTATATCTCATATCATTAACAACGAGGAAAAACCGATTGGATACGCGTCTCGAACATTAAATGCTGCCGAACGAAATTACAGTCAGATAGAACATGAGGCTTTAGCAATTATATTTGGATTAATTAAATTTAAACAATATTTAATTGGCAGACATTTCATTATCATTACTGTCCATAAACCCCTAATATCGTTACTTAATCCACATAAAAGAATAACAGATATGTCATCAAGATTAGTAAGATGGTCATTACTACTAGCAAATTATGATTATGAATTGCAACTTCGAGGGACGAAAAAAAATAGTAATGCGGATATGCTTTCCCGGTTTCCAATTGACGGTAAACCATCTGCTTGGGAAGAGTTAGATATTAATTTAATAGTATCGAATGCTCCACAATTTATTTCAGCGTTAGATATAAAAGAACACACAAGAAATGACCCGATATTATCAAAGGTTTCACGTTAACTTACAACTGGATGGGTAAAGATGATAGAGGAAAATCTTAAATCGTTTTTCCACCACCGAAATGAACTCACGATGGAGGCAGGGTGTATATTATGGGGCTTAAGAACCATAATTCCAAAAAAAATACAAGTAAATATTTTGTATTTTTTACATATGGGGCATCAGGGTTATACTAAAACAAAATTATTGGCACAAGAGAACGTTTGGTGGCCGAATATTAACGAAGATATCGAATTACACGGTAAGAATTGTGAATTATGTCAACCAAATAATCCTGGCAATAAAACGATCATAGGGAAATGGCCCTCCGCAAATAAACCATGGGGAAGAATTCATTTAGATTTTGCCGAACCAATTAACGGAGATATATACCTAGTAATAATAGATAGTTTTAGTAAATGGCCTGAAATACAAAAAATGACGACGAATAATTTTACTGAAGTAAGAAAATTGTTGTTAAGACTTTTTGCTATTTTCGGTTACCCCAATACGATTGTTACGGATAATGGCCCTCCATTTCAAAGTAGAGAATTTAGTTTATTTTGCAAACAATTATCAATTAAAAATGTATATAGTGCCCCATACCACCCTAGAACCAAAGGAGATGCAGAGCGATTAGTACAAACTTTTAAAAAATTTTTTAAAAAAACATAATAATTATAATAAAATACAAGATTTTTTGTTTAATTATCAAAATACGCCACAAATAACCACAAAACAATCACCAAGTTCAATTATGCTTAAATTTCAACCCATAGGACCTTTACAATTAATAAAACCAGTTTATCCTCATCCATATATACCTCAGTTACCAGGTTTTTTTAATATAAATGAAAAAATATATGCAAAAGATTTTAAAAAGATAATTGGATACCAGGTATCATTGTTAAAAGAACAGGACCAATGACGTTTTTAGTTGAAACTAAATTAGGGATATGGAGAAGACATATTAATCAGTTAAAACATAGGTTCGACAACTCAGAATTAAAAAATAGAGAGGAGGGAAGAGATGAAGAAACGATGCAAACTACACCACAAATGAATGAAAATGAGCCCATACAAAACTCAATGACTAAAGACATTGATCCTATACACGAATTGGTGACCAAAGACATTGACCCAATACAAGACTCAATAAACAAAGAGACCATCATAAATGATAAGATGAAAATCGACAGTAATGAGCAAACGGTGGTAGAGAACGAAAGTACAAGCAGCCGTTATTCAAAACGGATAAGAAAACAATTTATACCGTTTCAAATCGAGAGTCCAAAAAAGGAGAGAATAGATGTAATAGAAACAATTAGCCTCAAAGGCAATTAAATATATGATGAATTTTAAATATATATATTATTAATTGTGTACGACGATTAATTGTTTGTTTTGTAAAATATATATATACTGCGATACAAAAGGTAAAAAGTTGTTAAATTTATAATAAAAATTGATATCATCACAGTTAGGTACATTTACTTATCAGAAATTTCAATGTAATGAATAGCACATATTAATAATATCGTAACTAACTGATTACTTATATCTAATTGGTTAAGTTCTTTATACAAAATTTGATAACCAAAATCCTTATAAATAAAACTTTATCAAAAATATTAGGCCTATGATTAATTATCAAAATACAAACCCATTTCATCTATATTATAATTTTCCGATGTCCTCACTACGTCATCGTGACGTCATGTCATCATTACGTTTTTATTTTTATTTTTTTTATTTGTTGATTTTACTTATTTTTTTTTTTACAAACAGATGATCCCATAACTTAAGTTTTATATGCAATTGTAGGATACCATATTTAAACCTTAAATATTCCTATAATTTATCATTACAAAATTTTAACATTGGATGTCAAAGTAATACATTAAATATATCTATTTACAAAATATTACAAATTATTAATATTTTATATAGATATATGTTTTATATAATCAAAATATAATTATAACTATTGAAGAAGGAGAAATTCAATTTAACCTGTACGTCAGAGATAAGAATTGTTGCAGTGAACACAATTTAAATCCATATTTTTCTCCATAACTTAATTTTAGGAGTTATCTCCAATAATACGAGGTAATATTTGTTATTTCTTATAATAATATTAAGGCAGACCTCATTTTGTCATGATTCTCTAATAACTGGTTTGCCCAGGCTTTCCCAGTTTCCCTTATTACGAATCACATGTTTTTTTGCATATATAACTAGGAGTTAACTCATAGACTAATTGGTAAATCAGAGATTTCCCATTCATTAATTATAAATTTATTATCTCCAGGCTTGGGAAAATTTTTTCAAAATTATTATGGGTTGGAATGTGCTTAAAAAATATTTTTCAAAATTAATATTGGCTTGGTTTTCAAAATTATTAGGGATTGAGGTGGGCTTGAGAAATTTTTTTAAAATTATTAAGATCTTGGATGCTTGGAAATTTTTCCCAATAATACAAAAAATGTCTAAAAATCATTTAGCATTATTACTCAAGAAGCTGCTATTAGTGAAAATAATTATAAATGTACATAATATTTTCATTATATCATATATTACAATATTCATGCAAGTATTGGATATCAAAATAATACATTAAATATATCTTATTTACAAAATATTACAAATTATTCATATTATTTAATATTTTATACATTTACTCAATAAAATACCAACAGTCTTAATTTATTTTTAAATAGTATTTTTTTATAAAAGCATTTTATAAATTTATAAAATCAAAATATAATTATTTTTCTAACCTTATTTTCTATACTTTTTTATTCTTGGATTTTCTTAGAGTCAAATACAAAATATTTTTTAACACTTCTTTATTTTTCTTTATTATATATATTTTTCAGGTTAATGATGCTTACTACCTTTAGGTACTACCTATTAAATTTGAATTTTGTTCATTTTTCATTTGGATAGGCACTACCAAATATATTTATAATATATATTTGAAAAATCGTGATTTTTGAAAAGCCTCTATGGCCTAGTAGGCAAGAGCTTGGTTTACTGATCCCATAGTCCCGGTTTCGAATCCCGGGAATGGTCATGTTTTTTTTTAATCTAACTTGGTGGTTCCATCCTTGGGGGATAATATATAGGAGGCTGGACTCGACCACGTGATTCCGTATTAATATATTAAATAATAAGGATCTTATTACATTTTAATAAATTTTGGTCGGTATTTAGCAAATTAGGTTGGTATTTAAAATATTTCCATACATTCACTTGGTAGTAAGCATCATTAACCTATTTTTCACGATTTTACAACAAAAAAAGTATAATCGATAAACACCGATTTTTTACAAAATATAATATATTTCTTTTTTAATATTATTTATTTATCAATTATTTTTTATATAATAAATAAATATTATTATAATACAACATGTACCCCCTTTTTCAAATGACTACATGCCACATTTAACCGTAACTATAATTTAGGAATATATTTTTTTTTTAGATTCTTTTGATTCAAAACTTCGTATCATTGAAATTCTCTTGATATCGACGTTGAGCGAAACTTCATATCGTTCATATTTTCTTGATATTATTGTATCGTTCATTTCCGACGTATGCGACGATTTGATATTTGATTAAACGATTGTTTTGGTTGTTATCAAAAATTATCCTGATTAACGAGTCATAGCTTGATTTATCCATTGCATTATTGGTCAGTCATGATCATTCTATTTTAAGCTTGGCATCCTTATCCAGCATTTTAATGTATCATAGATCTATTACATCATTGTAATTTATTGAGTGAGCATCACACAAAGTAAGCAAATCAAATTTTTTTCTTAATATCTTTAACAACATATTCACAATACCCCTATTTCTTTTTACATAATGAACCATTACACAAAACAACAACCTTATTATTTTAATTTTATTATTTTTTAATTTACATAATGAACCATTACACAAAACAACAACATTATTATTTTAATTTTATTATTTTTTAATTTAAATAATGAACCATTACACAAAACAACAACCTTATTATTTTAATTTTATTATTTTTTAATTTACATAATGAACCATTACACAAAAAAACCTTATTATTTTCATTTTATTATTTTTTTTATTCTCTTACCCTTATATTTCCAATGATTTCTCTATTTCACTACCAGTTGCTTTTTCGTAATTAACGTTTCTTCTCTTCTCAATACCGCTTACAATTTTTATAATCTTCTAATTTTACTTTTTAATTTCTTTAATAATTAACTATTTTTTATAACAAACAACTTTATATTAACGAACTTATTTCCCAACTCCTATAAACATTTTATTTTCAAACTTTCTTTTGCCAACTATAAATAACAAAATATAATATGACCCACATATTATACATTAATATAACATTTTTTAAAAAACATAAAACAACTGCACGTGTGTATCTAATTTTTACAATTTTCTCATTAACAATAACAATCAAATTTTGCAATATTAAAATTTAAATTCCACACGACTATCAAATTTTTAACTCATCTAGCATTTTATAATTGAACTAATCGATCCATAACCGTTTTACCCCATAAATATTAAATATACTATTCCATAATTCCTCCAGATAACAAGCATTTATTATCAACCCATATATATATTTCTTTTAAATTTTAATAATCAATTATATCCTTGTTTTCAGCTAATCTCGATTTTAATTGATCTCGATGTCTAGTTACCTTACTATTATCCTCCAATCTAACCTTAAATATTTTATTTCCCACATTATCACTCCTTTCTCTCATTTTCTAGTTATTCCATATATTCTAACCCATACTAATTGATTAATCACATATTCCAAAATAACGTTATCTTCAATTTCAACATCCTATCCAAAGGTTTCAACATGTCTAAGAAAATATTAATTTTTCTTCCCATCATTTTTTCCGCAGGTGATTTACCATCTTTTCCCACTGCACTATTATAATATAACTGAGCTATCCACAACTCAGCTTTCCCTTCCTTATGTTTCTTTATCCAACTTTTTACAATGGCTACCATTCGTTCAGCCTGTCCATTCGAACTTGGATGATATGGTGGTGCCATTATATGTCTCACATTCATTTTACAACATAAAATCCTTGAATAACGAACTCACAAACGCCGGCCCTCCATCCGACATCAAAATACCTGGAATCCCAAATTTCGAAAAAATTTGCAATGTTTTATAACTATTCCGGAGAGGGTATCCCAGGTTGAATCAACCAAAATTTTATTATACCCAAAAACATTTTATCACTTATGGTCAATGCTCAGATATCTGCGATGTTAATCATCCATTTATACCAATTTGCCTAGTAGAAATTGTATTAATTAAATTATAAACAATAATTATTTATTTTCCATCCTAATTTACTAAATAGCCTAATCCCTTCTCAAGCATCTACTTCTTAAGTTGAAGATGTTAATTAATCTTTAGTAAGTCTCCATTATATGTTTCAATATAGATATTTGAATTATAGTTTATATTCTAGACTCAATAATTGCTTGGTGAGATGGTATCCCTCATTCTTGCCCTAATTTATTAATAATTTTATTTTTTGTTATTTGATATTTCTTATTTTATCCTGACTAAAATTTATCTTACTAAGTAACTTTCATTCTTTATGGAAATGATCCTTAATCTTCCATTATCAGACTTTAATTGACACCTTGCTCAATTACCCGCTAAACTTGGTGGTATCGACCTTAGAATCACTCTCCCTATCTCTTTTTATCTCTAATCGCCTTTCGCTCAATTCCACGATCTCATCTTTCATAACCCTTAATGACGATCTCTTAACATTAGCAATCGAAAGATGGAATCTACTAACCCCAGACGGTCAAACATTCCCAACCGAAATTTTTAATAAATCAATCTTGGAAACCCCTTATAAAGAAACTACAAAATAGTCTTAACCCTTCCAATATCAGCGATATACAACTTCTTCAAATAAACCATAAATACGGCGGGCATGAATGGCTAGAGGCACTTCCAAGCCTAACCCTTGATGATCTCTTAACCAATGACCAACTGAGAGTTATCATAGGATTTAGACTTGGATGCTCGCTTACACATTCACACACTTGCCACATTTGCAACCTACCCGTTCAACCAAACACATGACACGGCCTAAACTGCTCCCACAGCCAAGGTCGCCACCTCCTGCATAAAGCTATAAATAAAATCATCCATAACGCTCTTAATAAGGCTAAAATACCTAACATCCTAGAACCAAGAAAACTCTCTTTACAAGATGGTCTCAGACCTGACGGTTTAACCTACACCCCATGGTCTAATGGGAAATCCCTAATTTGGGACGCAACCTGCG